ATATATAGTTTTAAACCAGTGTTTTAACAAATGATTTTTAAAACAAATTTTGTTTTAATAGGCACATATCCTTTTGTGACTTCATCAAACTGCACAGTTGGAGGTGTGTGTACAGGTCTGGGCATGCCACCGCAGAACGTTGGGGAAGTGTTTGGAGTTGTGAAAGCCTATACGACGAGAGTTGGAATTGGTGCCTTTCCTACAGAACAAAATAATGTGAGTATTATCAGCCCCAGATGTGACCTGTAACTGGGTGAAACAACTTGGTGTGTCTTTCTTAAATCAGTGTTACTGGTTAAATGCAAGTAGATGACAGTGTGTTTGGATGTCTCATTCTTCTGATTCTAGACTGAGCTTACAGGACTGCCAAATCTGACTGTCAGTTCCTCAGACCTTCCTATGGAAGAGAAGGCTAGAGCAGGAACAGATTTTGAGGGATTTGCTCAGATAGCATTCTCTTGAGTTAGAAATAGCATTTTGTATTTCTATTTTCATCCCAATGGACAACTTTGTGAAAAATCAGGGGAAGGTAATTTACAATATTGTGAAATGCTGTTAAGTGTGCACCTGTGTCATATATTTATTGCAAATAATAATTTTTAAAAGGCTCATGTAATAGTATTACTCTTTATTAGGAAATTGGAGAATTGCTGCAAATGTGGAAAGAGTTTGGTGTTACCACTGGTAGAAAGAGAAGATGTGGCTGGCTGGACCTGGTGTTACTCCGATATGCCTACATGATTAATGGATTTACTGCGTGAGTTATTTTGACAGCTTTGCTGGCAACTTGACATAAAATCATGATATGCTACAGATTACTGAAAGTAGTACATGTACTAGTTAGTAACGTTTAGACTGTTACTATTGATTTGTCAGTTGTTTTGATATTTTGATAAATGAACTGTCCCTCATTTTTCCTAGCATTAGGTGTTTTTATATTTGACACTTCTGTACTTGTGTATTCTGCTTTCCTTTACTTGTAGCACATTGTTATTTTTCATTTAAAAAGATCCAAGAAGCACTTATGTATGTTAGTACTTGAGCTTCAAGCTACCCCTGCCCCTGCCATCCCACCAGACCAAAACCAAATCAAATGCATTGCAAAGGCCTTAAAACCTGATATAGTTTATGGGATTTTGTTTTGTTTCTTTTCAATATAAGACAAATGGGAACTCATCAGTGTCTTCAGCAGTATGTGTAAGTGTAGAAAATTTGGATATGACTTTGGGATTTTAATTAAAATGAAAAATAGGTGTCTGAAATGAAGCTGATACAAAATTCCTAGTAGATCAACCTGTGTAAATACGTGCTTTACTTAAATTTTCCTGTTTTTCTTGTCCTTTGTGTTTTTTATTTAAAATAGGATGCAGAAGGGCATTTACAGAGCCAGTGTTTGATTATTTTGCTGCCTTCACTGTAGGACAGGAGCATTTGACCGAGGACAGGAACAGACAGCAACAGGCATCATGCTATGAGATCATCTCAGATGAATGGTCATAAAGTATCTTGGCAGCACCCTGACCAGTTAAAATTCTAACAAAGCTATAGAGCAGTCACTTTAGTCAGAGAATACCTGTTCTTTGAGTTTTGCTATTTGCTTACAGTACTAAATCTAAGGAGAGAACAAAAAGGCTGTTTTAGTTTTTTGAGGCTTTTTTGTTTGCTTGGTTTGTTTTGTTTTTTTTAAAAAGATAGATTAGTGTCATACAAGCTGTTTTTCTAAGGAAAGCAAATTAATTGTAATGTGCAGGAATCCATTTTCTTTTGTTTCTTTTAAAATGTGATGACAGTTGGGAGTTGTTAAACATGTTTAACCAGAGTAATGTTTCTTTATAGATTGGCTCTTACCAAATTGGATATCTTGGATGTATTTCCAGAAATCAAAGTTGGTGTTGCATACAAGCTAGATGGTGAAATCATACCTCATTTTCCCGGTAAGAATGCTTGTTTAACAATTTTAGGTTTTGGTGATGTGTAATCTCATACTTAAATGCATTTGACTTTCACTTGTAAAATTGATGACAGGAATGTGTTGCTTCAGCATCAAGCCATTAATGTCTTCCCAGATACACCAGAGACGCCCTGTACCCGCACCCTAAAGATACCTTACTAAATAGTGTTGTTCTTCTACAAGAAACATGCAAAGTGCTATATAAAGCTTCTTAAACTTTCATGTTATTACTGCTTTATCCCTTTCTTTTAATACATCCTGCATTATCTTCAAGCTAAATCACAAGCTTTTTTCACACTCTTAAGCCCACTGTCTTATTCCCACTACTGTATTCGTTCCATCTTCTAGCAGGACAAGCCTTCATTTAGGCCTGTGGTGAATCACATGAGAGAACTGATAGAGTTGAAAAGCCAGGTTTTTCTCTCCTTGTGTTATTTTTCTAACAGTTCAGTTCCCTTTAATAGTTCACAGAGCCAAAAACCATCTCACCCACACAATGGAAAAGAGCAAAAAGGGGTGGAGGAGGAAAAGAGCAATTAGTTAGGTGACAGCAAGACTATTTTCTAATACAGGACCAAAATACAACATGAGCTTAACATTATAGACACTATAGCTCCTGAGGACAGTGATCCTTTTAGTAATAATTTTTAGCTGAAAAAATGTATCTGCATGTTAAAATTCAGATATCACAAAACATTGTTTTCATAGATAATGCATCTTGTTCAGTTTGCTTTAGTAGAGATACTCCAGAAAAAAGGAAGAAACTTAACCAGTACTGAAGAAAGAGCTTTCTGATTTTTCTAATGTGCGCATAGATGCCCCTTTCCATTCTGATTTCTACTCTAGGGTTTAAGGCTGGTCACAGGTTATAATTTTTCATATGATACCATCAGCAGGGAACTTTTTGTGGGTGAACTTTTTGTACTCATAAAATACAACTCACAACAGGATTTGTACAGTATAAAGATGTGATTATCATAGAATGGTTTGGATTGGAAGGGACCAACCCAAGATCATGTAGTTCCAACCCCCCTGCCATGAGCAGGGACACCTTCCACTAGACCAGGTTGCTCAAAGCCTCATCCAGCCTGGCCTTGAACATTTCCAGGGAGGGGGCATCCACAACTTCTCTGGGCAACCTGTTCCAGTGTCTGACCACCCTCACAGTGAAGAATTTCTTCCTAATATCTAATCTAAACCTGCCCTCTTTCAGTTTACAGCCATTACCCCTGGTTCTATCACTACCTGCCTTTGTAACAAGTCCCTCCCCAGCTTCCTTGTAGGCCCCTTCAGGTGCTGGAAGCCGCTATAAGATCTCCTTCTCTTCTCCAGGCTGAACAGCCCCAACTCTCTCAGCCTGTCCTGATAGGAGAGGTGCTCCAGCCCTTGGATCATCCTGGTGGCCTCCTCTGGACTTGTTCTAGCTGCTCCAGGTCTCTCTTGTGTTGGGGGCTCTAGAACTGGACGCAGTACTCCAGGTGGGGCCTTAGGAGAGTGGAGTAGAGGAGGAGAATCACCTCCCTCGACCTGCTGGCCACGCTTCTCTTCATGCAGTCCAGGATACAGTTATTGGCCTTCTGGGCTGCAAGCGCACATTTATAAAGGAATAAGTGATAAGCTAGTAGTCCTTGAAAATAGCACGGATCTGTTGGGGAAATTAATAAGAAGTTAACAAAAAAATCTTCTGTTTCTCCGTGTGCTTGGGGGAGTTGTCTAACTGATACGCCCTCCAGTATTTTCAAACAAAAGTGCCAGTTACAATCCGAATGCATATGGAATGACATGGTGTGCACTTTTATTCAGGAAATTTAGGAGCCATCTTGCACTAAACCAGGGAATGCTTTTCTTTTTTTAAGACTCGAATATTCCCTGATTGATACCCTTATGAAAATATTAAAGAAATTTGCGTGTACTTTAGATGGCCTTTGAACATAATGGAGATTGCACATTTGAATTGAGAACTACTCAGTAAATGTTTGATCTGTAGCCCTTTCATCTAACCTGGGGGCTATTTGGACTGTCTTGTGCTCAAGCCAGGAGGACTTTCTCTGGCAGCCTGTCATTAAAGATGACATAAACAGGTGGCCATGCTTTCCAGTATGGAAAGCAGTGAGTACTTTCCACCCCCCCCAATCCCCATTCGTTATGAATCTCAGATGGGACCAGAATCTTATTACACTTCCTGAGGGCAGACTTTACTCCCCGTACATGCCCAGGTAACAGGTAGTTAGCCTTTGGTCATAGCAGCACAGTGTCTCACCTGCCTAACTGTATTTTTCGTTACTGTATGAACAATTAAGAATTCTGGTAGAAATTTAGTAGAAGCTGTTGTCTTCCCTGTTGACTTGCTTAAGTGTCAGGAAGGAGTTTCAGCTGAACTTCTGGTAAGCTGGAAGATGCTGTCTCTCACAGCGCCTCTGCGTTCCACACCTCTCTTTGCTATGCTTCTCAACATTTGGCAGCATTTTCAGCACAAATGCTGCAGCTTACTTATTACCCCTGCCCTGGCATAAAAAACAAAAGGTAACTTTCTTCCCACTTTGAGTTTTGCAGACAATTAGGTTATTTCTGTTGTCTACATCTCTGCATGCTGTTTTTTTTGTTTTGTTTTGTTTTTTTTTTTTAAGTTGCCACTTTGACATTTTGAATTTAATTTAGAAGAGATCTAGTCTGGGAATCTCTTGCTGGCAGGGTATTTCTTTCTCTCTCCCCTCCCTACCCTCCCACTCTCTTGGAGATGGTTAGTGATTTACCCTTCTTGTGAAATGACTGTCTCTAAATTAGAAGCACACACAGTGCCCACCATCTCAGGAAAAACATGCCATATTTCATATATTGTTCCTTTTTCCAGCTGGATCAGAGAATCATACGAGCTCACTCAGTTTTTTTAGCTTGGATTTCTGTGGGTATTTCATAATCTTCTGTTAAAGAACTGAAAATGTCTTGTAAATTTACTGCTGACTTCATATCATTGAGACTGTGGTCTTTTTGCTATGGACCTAGTCAGTAACTTCATTTTTGTTCACTCCCTGCTAGCTCTGACCTGATCACTTTAAAAGGAATGTGAAAGCCATCGTATGGTCCTGCTAATGCCTCCTGTCCAAGTTCAGGAGTCAGTTGATCTCAGCATAGACAGACGTAACCTCTAGCTCAGGGGAAGTTGAAAACACAGATTCTTAGGAAATTGGGAGATTATTTTGGAGAATATTAATGCTTTTTAAATTTTTTTCTTCTTGTGCTCTTTCCTGGGCATCTACTGTAGATTCATGAGGTAGGACACTGTGCTAGATCCACCTTTTCTCTGACCTGTGTGACTGTTTTTATGTTCAGTTTCTGGAAATGGCTGGAGGATCTTTTAAAAGATGAGATCTTTTGCAGAGGTGCCAAGATCCCACATTTCAGCTATTCTTTTGAGTTGGAAGTAACATCACATCATTCCCTCTCTTTATTATAGTACCAGACTACCAGATATCACTGTATCTCTTCTCTCTGTTATCTAATTCAGCTGTTAATAAGGAATATTCCAGAAAGCCTAGAAGATAAATCCCTTAAGGGAAGAGCTGAGAGAAATCTGGATGGCAACTACATCTCTTACTATACTGAGCTCCGTTTATGGCTCATCTTTACCACACATCTTTTATCGCACCTGCTGGAGAAAGAGGATCACTTGAAACATCAAGAAATTTATCCCTTCTTTTCCTTCCCTCTGTTTTGGGGAAGGAAGGAATTGAACTAACACAGAGTAATGGAAGACTGTGGACAATATTAGACTATTCAGTTCTAAGTGCTTCCAGCTTTTTCACAGCTAGCCTCATCAGAGAGGCTTCAAAGTAAAACTGAGTTGCTTGTGGACCACCAAGATTAGGTGTTCAGTCACTTTTCCTTTTCAGAAAGAGGGAGGCTAGTGTCGTATTCTAGACCATCTGCGATGCCTGGAGATTAGTTTGTGGTTTTGCCCTTTGAATATAGCTATTCTATTTTACAGATCACCTGGACAGCAGACAGCAGCTCAGATGTTACTGCTGATGACATTAAAGAAAGTGCTTATCCTTGGCCTCTGCAACCCAGCATCCTTAATGTGCCTGTTTGTCAAGGTTGTCCTGGTGATAACAAGGATTGATTCAGGATCCTTTGCCTTAACCTGTGAACACAGGCAAAAAAATGTGCATTTCTGCACTGTTGTAGGCTTTGTAGTCAGTAGAGCGTAGTCCTCTCTCACCCTTACGCAAAATGTGTAGTTCATAAAGGCTGTCCTTACAATGTTGCTTCCTTCTATTGAACTCTTACCTGCACCAGGACAAACTGTTCAATATGCTGAGCCTGAGTTTGTTGGCTACACAGGCGCTGGAGGGAATTGGTGATGGTTTTGTATTTGTACCTCTACTGTGCCTCTTGCGCCTAAAGTGCTTTCCCTGGTCGATTAGCTGTCTTTGCAAGAGTAGCTTGGTCTGAGACATGGAGCCTACCTAACATTGATTAAAGTGCCTTTGCACTGTCTGTTTCAGGAAGGCAAGAATGCCTGACATCTCCCAATTTAAAAAAAATGTATTTTGACTACTTTCAGTCTTAAGGCTTTTGTTTTGCTGCCCAGTGTCATTCCAAGATTAATGTTCAGATAATTACTGGAATGATTCAATTCCAGAATAATGTGCTGAGCATCTTTTCCAGTACTTGAAATCATCATAGGATTCAGAGGTAATGGACAACATTGAGGCATGTTACTAAATGAAGAGCAAAATGGAATATACTCATTACTGCTATTCTGAGAAATATTTGGAACAGTTACTGGTCATACGTCATGTGGGACTCCACACTGCTTGACAAATTCATTATAGAGTTTTGGGGCAAAGAGTCTGTGGGCATCAGAAGTCTTGTATGTATAAACTACAACTATGTTTAGTAAAAAGTACACTCTAACACCATTTAAAAATACATTCTAGCTGCCTGATACTTACAAACTGGTGCCTAATTTTTCTTCACATCACCAAATTCCCTCATGAAGGGGGAGCTGGATCTTGATATGTTCAGAAAAAAAAAATAAAAAAAAATAAAAATCAACATTTTAGGGAATAACTTTCCTGAAAAATTGTTTCCTGAACTGAAAAGATTGTGGTTTAAGCAAAACATATGCATGTGACTGTGAGTACTGGAAATCCCAAAGTCCAAGTCCTGATAGTTACTGGATACTTTTTTTCACTGCTTATATTAACAAAAAAGGACACTTAGCACCTTCAGTGCTGGTATTATCTTATGAGTAAACCTCTTTGTATAAGAAAACAATAAAAAGCTTTAGAGTTATGTGTTTAGTGGTGGAGAACGTATAATCTCTGTAGACATAATATTTTTGTTCCTGTTTGCTTCTCAGCCAACCAGGAAGTCTTAAATAAAGTAGAGGTTCAGTATGAGACACTCCCAGGATGGGATACGGACATATCAAATGCAAGGACGTTTGATGAGCTGCCTGTAAATGCACAAAATTACGTTCGCTTTATAGAAATGGAGTTGGGTGTTCCTGGTAAGTAAAACAGATCTTTTTGTTGTTGGTGGTGGTGTTTTGTTTTTTTCCTACTCCATGAAACGTATCTTGTACTTGGCTTTAATGAACAAATACTGAGAATTAGTTTGTAGCTGTACTTATTCTGATGTACCTGGTGATACGTCTAAGTATTATTTTACTTCTTTATGTCTTTAGCTGTTGAATTGAATTTTTTCAGAAGTTTTAGTATATATTCTTTCTTTGGCTTATACTGTAGTTCTTGTTCAACTGAGATTTTTATAACTTGCTTAAGTGTTTTTCTGTAATAGGGGTTTAGTTCTGCTGCTATTAAAAAGTCAGTGGGACTACTGGTATGTTAATGTGATTAAATATATGTGACAGTAAGAGGTCCTAAACTAACAAATTTCTCTTATGCTCCCTAACAAAGATGATCCTGTGGTTCCATCCAAAGCTGGGAATTAGGAGACGATGCAAATCTTTATTTTTATGGTAGTTTCTATGTATCTCTCTTTCCTGTGATCTGGAAAACTGAGCTATTTATTATGGCAGCTTCAAGACTGTTCCTGCTTTTCTAAGTTACCAATGCATTCTTACCTTGAGAACAATAGACATAGTTATCATCTTTTAACGTACTAATAGTATATGCTGTGCTTTTCTTCAGACTATGGTACTTAAGATCTTAAGCACTTAAGAAGATAAGTTTGTGCCTTATCTTAAGATATAATCTGATCTTGCTTAGTATTATTACTTGTAATAAAAATTTGCTTTTCTCTCCTGCAGTTAAGTGGATTGGAGTAGGGAAATCCAGGGAATCAATGATCCAGCTGTTTTAAAGATTTCAGATGCATGGAAGAAAGCACACTCCTCAAAAGACTGCTCGTTCTTAAATGCATTAGTAGCCCGCAAAGCAAAGATGTTGGAAAGATAGATTTTTGCATGGAAAGAAATGCTAGAGTTGATACCCCCAAATGAATTGCTACTCCTGAAAGAGACTCTAACATGAACCTGTATCAATTCTTGTTCAACTGCAATTACCAGGACACTTGTCATGTTGTTCAATGTGCCATCAGATTTTTTTTTTCTTTACCTAATATTTACTTCATAATGTAATTCCTGTTTGAAAATCTAAGGTAGCATTACTTTTCACGACTGTTTGTCTTTGTTATCCTCTCTCTGCTTTTGGCGGTGTTACTTCCCTGAAATTTTAGACAGTAAAGATAATGCAGTTTTGCACAGATAGTTTTACATCCTCATTGTTTGTATTCCTAAAGCTGTTGTATTCTTAATGGCTGCTCTTGTGAGTGATTAAAGAGGGGGGTTCTGATTTTATAATGCTATAAATGCTGTCTAAATTATTGTGTGATCTGTTTTTTAAAAAAAGACATGATGCCAAGTTGTTAAGAATGTCCAGGTTTTTTTAGCTGTATAACATGGAAAACTTACTCTTTGTAACTCACAGAGGACACTCAAGTGTTTATCAGGAAGTGCGCCCAGAAAGTTAGAAAACTGATATTGTAAAAAAGTTCATTTGCAATTATTAAAGAACTGTTCTGATTTTGAGTTAAATGTTTGATGATGTTACTAATTTTTTTTTTTTTCTGGTATTTATAAACCCTCCAGTTCTCTACTTCCAAGGTGCATATCTCAAACTGTTTCCCTAATTAAATGAGGTTCTATTTATATTTGGTAAGAAGTCTAACATTCTGATGCCCTTTTAAATTCCTTTCTACATAGCCAGTAGAAGATGTTTCTCTGGAGAACTAGCAAAGCACAGACACTTTTGTAATTATAAATTGAAGATGCTTTAGAAATAACATTTAAAGTATTCAATGCCT